CACCGATGGGCGTCCCGGTTATACGGCGAAAGGGATTGATTGAGGATATCCCTTTGCTTTGCGTTCGGCGATTCCTTGCGTAGCCTATGCGCATGAGAAGATCTACATGGTGTCCCGGACGAACGAGCTCCGATGCAAGGCATCAGGTTGGTGGGCGCTGTGTAAGATGCGATTTGCTGATGTGGAGGCAGTGGAGTTCCGATATGTTGGTACAGAAAGGGAGTCGGAGGTACCACGGCGATGGCGTAGACGACCTGTATCCGACATTGCCTGATTGAGTAAGAACGTCACAGCAAGGGAACGGCATTGAAACAGTTTTTGTGTGTTGTTGACCAACAATGGTAAACAGTCGTGATTCTAGCGCTTCATGCGCTTTGGTATCTACTCCAATCCGAACCCCATCCATGCCTATGAACAGTCAATGCGCCTCGGAAACAAATCCGAAGCACGCCCGCTTTGGGGCAAAGTGAAAAGTAGCCGTAATGATACAGAAAAAATATTCAAAACCGTCCGCCCAGTAGGTCATTCGTGATATGCTCTTGATAGATGGAAACGTCAAATGTAACGCCTGGGCCTAGCCACTACAAGTGGATATAGGAAGTGTGGCCGCCAAGTTTCGCAACGCCGTTTCGCAAAATGTCTAGTAGTTTGAAGTTGAGAAGGAAGTGGAAATGCCGAAAACAACCTCGCCGGGTCGTGTGAGCCAGTTGCGCCTTCGCATGCCCGTAGACTCGGGTGGGGAAATCAGATACGCCGGTGTTTATGCAACCCAGTATGCAAGGTCAAGGTGATGCAAATCGCTCTGATTGCATCGTCGTAATCGTGTCGCTTTTGAATGACGGAATGTCGGTGTGATAGTGAAGAATGTAAGAGGTGAGTGGGTAGCTTAGAACAGGCCGCCCTCGACAACGCCTGGTTCGTCGTCTCGGAGCTGGCCGCCGCTCTTCTTCTTGGGCCAGAGCTTGCTGCTTACTCGCTTCCAGCTATCCCGGGTAGCACTGGCGAGGCCATTGTGCTCTCCTCGGCTGTTGCGGGGGCTAGGTGTGCCGCTATTCGAGCCAGTGTCGTAGTAGGCTTGATGAAAGTCGGCCATGGGGTAATCGCTCATGGGCGGTGTGCCAGGCGGTGTAAGTGGATCGCTCATGCCCGACGGGCTGCTGGCGCTGCCAGAGTCATCGGTCAATGCATCGCTGCCACTAGTGTAGCCAGATGTAACACGGGTGTGTGCTTGACCGGAAGAGGTCGGCTGAGAGTGGAACCGAGAGTGTGAGAAGGGTCTCGAGGCCATGAAGCCAGACGTCAGTGACGACGGTGCCGATGCTCGCTGGTGGGCAGGCACGGGCGGCTGTGACGAGCGGGAGAGCATACTCCGCTCCTCGTAGCTGCGGGTCGATGAGCGCGAGATGTTGCTACCGGCGTAGCTCTCGTGGCTGGCGGGGTGAGCGCTCTGTGGGCTGACCGAGTTGAGGAACGAGACCAGTACGCTCTCCTCCATGAGCTCGTTGATCTTGGCCACGGCACTGTCTAATGCCGATGGGTGGGGTGGGACGTATGAGTCGGAGAGGCTTAGTAGAGTGTCGCGGACTTCGGCGGGAAGGTTGACCTGCGGCTGTTAGTGGAGGTTGGGTGGGTAGGATTGAAAGAACGTACTTCTCGTGGACCGGACTCGCGGATGTAGGCGTCAATCAATCGACGCCAGAGCATCAGCACGTAGCCGCACTCTTCGGACAATGGCGAGATGGGGCTCCCCGGATGGCGGTTGACCATCTTGGAGTAGTGCTTGCGGTAACGGGAGGCGTCCATGGTGAATTCCAGGTTCTCGAGGCAGTGGTTCTGGGACAGGAAGGCCATGAAGGAGGTGAGGGTGTAGGGCGGCGGGGCGGTGTTGCTGAGAATCTCTTGCAGGTTGGGTTTCCGGCATTGCGGGCTGGGGATGTTCTTGGGTATCGAGACGGTCAGCGGGGCGGGCTGGCAGTCGGACAGGGCCATCTTGACGTCGCGGGCATCAAAGTCTTGCAGCGAGGGGGTGGGCGAGGACGAGGCGGTCGAGTCGGTGCGGATAGATAGAGCGTGGCTTCCGGATTTGCGTGTGACCATGACGCTGCGCCAGAACTGCTTGTAAACACGGCGGGCGTCCTTCCTGCTCTGCTCGTCGAAGCCTTCACAGGAACAGAGTTGCAGTTGTTGCGCCAGCTTGGCGTTGGCGGCACGAGGTTCGGGCGAACCTAGTGTCTTGGGCGGTGGTGGGAAGTTATCGCTCCGGCGGCGGCAGCATCGGGGGGTGGGTGGGAGTGGTAGGCGGGTGCTGTATATACGTTGGCGTGGGTAGGCGTGTGGTGAGACCGATATGCGTCAGGACGTGGCTATGGACAGCAGGCTATGGACAGGTGCGGCTCAGCGTGGTTTTGAGCAAGCGGCAGTGGAGAGTCAGGGAGTCTTGGGTCAATGCTTGGGCGGAAAGCTCAGTCAGGACGCACACGCCAGGGCCCACCAGCGGTTTGGCCATCACGAAGGATCGAGGGCCCATGGCTGAGGGCTCGCTGCCGTAAAAGCGGCGGCACGCGCTACCTGGGCATTGGCCGCCCATGTCTTCTGGAAGACGCACGCCCGCATCATCATCCTGGCCGAAACCGCCCCCTGCTGCTCAGTCTTGCCACGCCGATGGGTGCTGATGGCCCTCTGCCCTGCCCGACCTGGCCGCCTGCTGTGACAGACTGCGACACTGCACACTGCGACATCAGCGCCGCCGACGAACGACGCGTCGCTTTCCGAGGGCGTGGGAGGTCGCACCGCAGACAGCCAGCACGGTCGCGCTCTATCTCACCAGCCATGCCCGTCTGGTTGCGACGCCCGGCACTAGCTGCGTGCATAGATTACCTTGGCCCCCCAGCCTTGTGCGTCGCCGCAGCCCTCTCTAGCAGCCGACTGGGCGTAGCCTGCCCCAAACGGCCCTTTTAGACGATAAAGACCACCCTTCTCCAGTTTCCGTCGCCTTTCCTTACCAGTCCGTACGAGTTGCGAGACGGATGGCAATCGAGTGCACAGTGGAGGTCCCAGGGACGTGGAATGCGCAGCCTGAGCACCTCCCAGCACGCCGCAAACGACGGCCTGCGCCCGCCGGAGCCCACTAATCCACCCTATGACTCTGCCTACGCAACAAAGGAAAGTAGATCGATCGCACCAAAGCCCATGTCTCTTGCTTGCTTTGTCACAGCATGTACAGCCCACAACGACACCATGCCCAGTGTCACCTGCTGCCGCGTGATGTGCACGCGCAACGGTACTTGATCAAGTCGTCCTCGCCAATCACGCTCCTGATGTCTTACACCACGCCCGCCCGCACGGCCACACGCTTGGCCCTCGCCCTACGCCTGGGGTCAGACTCGTCCTCCAAGTGCTCCCCAATCTCGCCCATTACTGACGCAAACCCGCCCTCAGCCAACCGCCCTCCACTTGGGATGCGCCGGCGCCTCTCTAGCCTTCTAGCACCCTTCTTAGCAAACACTCCCACACCGTGCATGAGTATACCGTGCCAACGACTGTAGGTGTACACTCACGCATGCTCTTTCTTTTGTGCCCGCTGCTCTATCCACCCGGCTATACAATCCTGCCCTGCTATCCCGCCAGCTATCCCGCCAGCGTCTCGCTGTCTCAAACGAGGGAATGCTGACGTTCCACCAGCGCTACCATCAGGCCACCCACCCCCAATCCCTGCCCCATCGCACTTTCTTTCACCGTGCCACCGAAGAAATCTTCTAGAACGATTTCATCCTTCTAGAAATTTACCCGAACCTGCCTAGTGCTTCCACACCTGCCCTGCGCGTCGATCCAGGATCTCCGTCAACCTCCTGCATGTCCAGCGAAACGCCTGTAACACTCCACCCTCGAAGCCTTCACCTCGGAAATCGCTCACCCATTCGATGTAGCGCTGCCACCTGTTGAGGGCGCCTTCGGGCTTTCTCCAAGCGCCGACCCTGCCGTGCTTCGTGAAGATGCAAATGTGGCGCTTCTAGAAGGACTGCTGTGTCGTTGCAGCACCGCCAGTAGCCGGCTAACGACTCAGCTCGCGCCGACGCGCACCCAAATTCATTCCGCACCGAAAATTTTGAGCCGCCAACAAAAAAAGCTCGGAGCCTCAGGAACACAGCATGACGCAGCCAGTGGGCCATTTTTTGTTCGCGTAGTCGTGATTCACCCGCTTCACCGCTTCGTGGGGTTTCGTTTTTTAGCCGCATCCCACGCTCCGTCGGAGCACCGCGATCGCTGAAACTACACGCTGACCTTGGCGGAGTCTCTGCTGTTCGAGCCTCAGTCATGTCGGAACGACATGTCCTCTCCTTGCATGGTGGCGTCCATAATGTGCGCCTTTTTGCTTGTTAGAGCCCCAACGACCACGCCCTCGGTACCAGCTTCCCGACATTGAGTTGAAGAAAACCTCACTACCAAGGCCATGTTGGCCCTGTGTCATGATTTTGAGCAATCACGAGATTCATGGCATTTAGCCTTAGTTTCCATTCTTTGCACAGCATTGCCTGTCCACACTCCACATTGTGGTGTTGAGCTTGGACTCAAGCATTGATTGCTTCGGAACCGGCGACCGCCCGCCGAAGAGACGCCAGGTGTACATGAAACCGGACCGATGTGGACCGTAACCACTGTTTGAGCGATGCACTGATGCGTCTGCGCTGGCACACACAGTGAGCAGAAAAAGGAAAGAGGTAAAAGACATGCTGGTGGTTATCAAACTGCTTCAAACATAGGGCCAGCCGTACATGCTGGTGCCGATCCTATGCCGTTGCCGATGAGTCAATCGGCTGACGTCGTTACCAAGCGACGTTGGTTACGTTTGCCCTGGATCCCACGACAGCCTGCAACACGCGAGTGCTTCGATCGGGTTACCTGTCTTCCCAACAAGACGCCCGTCTAGGTATCTCCTTGGTGTTTTTCACGTCGTTCGTTTCACGGCTCTTGACAAGGCAGTTGAGGTCCATGCTACCTCGTCATCCCACTTTCTGGATGTCCATCTGCAACCGTGTCCCGGCTTGCGTCTCAAGCGCAGCGACATCTAGATCCCATCCCTTCCCCCTCATCTCGTCCCCATATTTTTCAAACGTCGCCCGGACGTCCTCCAACGTCTGCCTCAACTCAGCCTTCAGGCGATCCTTGGTCGGAGGTAGTGCTTCATTGGGCTGATCACCCGAGTGCCCATTCCCATCTCGGGCCCTCTTCGCAAACAACAGTGCGTGAGCCCATGCTTTGAGATGATCCGTCGGTCCACACTCTGCTTTCAGTGCAATGGAGATATAAGATGCGGATGCAGCGGGACACATGATGTATGCCTCTCCAGCGAAGACGGTTAGTAGTTCGGAGATTTGTATAGTCCGCAGAGCGAGCGAGCCCGTTTGCCTATTTTCTTCCCCTATCCGGCCTAGCATATCCTGGAGAGATACGCCAATCTTACACTGGCCGAGCACTTCGTCGTCGGACCAGCGCAATACGTCACCTCTGTGGAAGATGCGCTCGCGCTTAGACACTTCGGTCGGACTCAGCACGACGCCGTGCTGGAACATGTTGCTGAACAGGATGTTGGCGCGCTGCCTATTGAGGGATGCGATGCTGACGGCCCTTACAGCGGCATAGTTGGTTGCTAAATGTATTCCTAGCAGGAAGATAAGTGTGCTCCATGTCGCAAAGGGTGAGGTGATGTAGGATACCACCAGGCTGCCTGCCTAGCCGGCGTATTAGTAATCACATCAGCAGTGTGTAAGCTCGGCGGTACTTACGAGCATACCCATTAGAGAGATGACTGTCTCTTGGCTCGAGTCTTTCTAAGCATTAGTCAGTAACGGTCATGTGTACCCAACCTACACTGTGCCCCACAGCATAAGTCGTAAGCTATCTATGCAGATCTGTGTATTGGGCATGATAGCACATGGTCTTAACACCCATTGTAAGACACGTGCTTGTAGACGTCCGATTACTTTTCTGCTCGCTGTTTCATAGTGAAGAAGAAAAGAAAACAGCAAACTCACAGCATTCACCTCACCCAAATTACCTTTCTTCGCAAAATGCGCACTCAAACTCGCTTTCGCACTTCCTGCACAAACCCCACATAGGGCTCTCAGACAGCTCGAGAAGCTCAAAACAGCCACGCGAATGGGTTTTGGGAATGCAGGCGATAAGCAATCAAGCACCATCGCGGTGTCGTTGAAGACATCAGCAGCTAGTCGGTACATTTTGCATTCAGGCTCGAGGGCTGTACCGAGACGGTGCGCGAAGAGGATCGTAGCGATGCGGCCGGTAGACTCTTGGAGTACGGAGAGGAGGAGGGCGGAGGTGGGGGAGGCGGTTGAGTCGCCAACGCCGACGCCTGGGTGGGTGGTTAGATGTGTGGTGGTAGGATTTGCTGTTGGGTGTCATCGTGATGGAGTATCTCCATGTTTAGTGCTTATGATGTACAGTCCTTTCTCTTGAGAGCCTTGTTGACAACGCAGAATCTCTGGTTTACCCAAGGACGGGGGAAACATGGGGAGTATACTCCAAGCCGCACATGGAAACATACCTTCCAGAACAGCTCTCGAAGCCAACATACCCGCAATTGACGATGAGAATGCTTGAAGCGAGTCCTACATGAACATATCCCCATCAGCTTTCCTGTGTTCCTGATACTCAAACTCAAACTATCGTGCATCAGAAGAGGAAGGGTCTCACTGAAACATACATAGATCTGATAATGGATATAATCCTCCGTCACGCTCTGCGGATACCCCGCTGGCAGAAAAACGTCAAGAAGGCGTTGCGCATAGCTCTTTGCTCCTGTGGGATACTAAATCGGTGGAGATGTTATGTCAGTGACCGTAAACACATATTCCACCAACGCGTCTCTGAAGTCAGACTTGCAGTACAAAACACCGGGATATTAAACGCAAGTAAACCAAATAACGCATATCGAAGTAAGACAAAACGTGCATACGACATACAATCACATCAACCCTCTTGCCTTCCGCAGAAGTAACATACTGCGCCACCAGATTCCCCGCCTCGTCTCTCTCGGCTATCTCCAGCGCCATCAATACGCGTGCAGACAGTCGAGTGGAGTAAGAATGGAATGACTGGTGCCGAGTAAAAACGCCCAAGGTCGGCGCAAGTGGCTTCGAAATATCGCGCTAGTGTCTTGTCTCCGTAAACGGTTTGGTGGAATTGGTGGAGTGGAAGTACGCGGGGAGGGGGAGGATCGATGGGGGAAGAGGGGCTGGAACGAACGGAACCCGTGTGTAGATCCATCCGCTTACCTCGATCGTCCACGTTTGCACATCAAACACATTTCTCCACGATTTGACAAACATCTCACTCCACTTTCTATGGTATTCTTTTCACGACCCCCGTTCTTTCGCGACGGTGTAGAAAAGTGATGCGCCGCTTTACCATTTCCCTCCTGTCGGCCATGGAAAGCGTGGGACTGTGATCTGTGCACCCCAGCTGTATGAAGCTAGCTCCAGCTCTTCATCTATCGCGGAGTATCCTCGTTTGATTGCCTTGTATAGCCATCCCAACAAAACCTCCTTTGCTGCACTGTATTCCACGTTCCCACAAACGGCTTTCCCTGCAACAAGGTGAGCTGTCCGTGTTGGGTCTTGTTGTTGAGACCGGAGAGTGCTATACGGATACGACATGAGATGGCTGCGTGAGCCGGCTGTCTACATGCACTATAAAATGATGTGAGATTTCGGAGGTATTTATTCTGGGCATGCGTGTCTCCGGTGGGCGATGTGCTTGATGTGTATTAGAAGCGTTCTTGGAGGCTTTTAGGGAACGAGACCGATTGGTACACGTACTGGCGCAGGGAGGAATGGGTGAAGCGGGATGAGGCGGAGGAGATGTATGTGTCATCTTTGCTTATGTGCATGGTGACTGATCGGTCAGATGTGTTATCGTTAGTCTCTCTCAAGGTTGTAGCTAACGTATGTTCCCTCAAACACGTACTCATCGCACTGGGAGTTTTAGTGTTTCGTGACATGTGAATACCAGAAGACATGCTCATCTCACGGCAAGTACGATCAGAGCACGGTCTTTACTCTTGTATCTAGTAGTACAAGATGAGTTCTCAAGCCATATGTGGTGTGGAATGCAGTAGTCGTCGTGACAAAGATGCACTACATACCTTCCAACGAACCTACTAATATCACGTGTTGCGACATTGCTCCTCCAGAACAGCGGACTTTCCGAGGTCGTGTATCTTCGTATCAGCGCAAGCAAGTGGCCTTTTAGAGAGACTGTGCGTGATACAGCCAATCATGGGCGATCAACTCCAGAGTCGTGGGAAGTGTGATGATGGCTAAGAGTCAAAATCCAGGCGACGGCATTCTTGACTTCTGTAACGTTCTTCGGCGAAGTCTGGTAGACAGAGGTTGTGATTCATTCGGATAGATCGGGTTGGCTCTCTTTGCTTTACAGTTACGATTGATGCTGCGACAGAGGAGATGTACACTACATGCTAGCAGTCTCCATCGTCCAACACTACGTAAACCCTACGGCTTGTGATTAGAGTAACATACGATTGAGTGCCTATCGTCTGAATCCGTCTCTTTGCACTCATGAGCACACATGACTGCAGTTGGAGAATAAAAAAATTGAAGTATATATTACATTGAACTGTGTTCTTGCAGTGTATCACTGCCGTCTACCCGCAACCCTGCGCAATAAGAGCGCGACCCCCTAAACTAACAATAACCTGGGTATCTAATCGTGTATCCGAATGTTGAGTGGCGGTACGCAACTCCGCTGCATCGTGCCCAAGATTTTGTGTACCATGCAGCGTGTACCAGCCACGCTCTGCAACCCTCCCTCCACACCTTGTAAAACACCGTCAACTCCAGACATTATATATACCCAAAGCACGAGACTGAGCTCGTATGCGAAGGCCGTAATTCGAAGAAAGACGTGAGAAGGCAAAGTCGACCTTTGAGAGTCATGGTCGCCCATCGTGCGATCCCCAGTGCCTGTCATGACGCCGTTATGACCACTCGGCGTTACTACAAAAGTATCACGCCACCGCTCAAGCATCCCCATCCTCCCTTTTCCTAACCCCCGCCCTTCCAAACCTCATCTTGCCTCCTAGTCGCTCTACCTCTTCGACGGCTGCATCTCGTTGCCTCTCCAACTCTTTAATGTAGTCGATGGCCACTGCCAGCACCATGCTCTTACTAGGCTTCACTGCGCCCGTATCCGTGGCATCACTCTGCGGTAACATGGGTACTGCCCGACGTAGTCGCTCTAGCTCTGCATTGAGCTTTTCGCGGTACTTGCGCTCGACTTCGGTGTGGGGCATGCATTGTGTCCGGGCGATTTTGGCGGTAGTAGTGGCGGTCGGCTCAGAGGCGGGGCGGTGGATGCGAGGTCGGCCTCGTTTGCGTGGAGCAGGTGGCTTGAGTGAGGTGTCCTCGGGAGAGATGCCGTGGTGTGCGGTGGGCGATAGGGATATTGGGCTGCCGTGGCCAGTGGGCGGCGTCGGTAAGGGAGAGGGGTTGGACGGATAGCCGTTGGGGAAGTCGGTTGCAGTGTAGGCGTGTTGGAAATCGGCTGGGCAGCTCAAGGGCGTTGAGCTGTAATTCGGCCATGCGTTCAGAGGAGCTTCACCGCCTGCGCTCGTTGCACTGACAAATGATGGTGTGCTGACGTAGCTGTTGGGTACCGGTGCACTCCAGTTGACATCTCGGGCCCCTGGCGTGATGGATCGGTTGAAGCACTGGCCGCTCCTGCTGTCGTAGGTATTGAAACCATAGTCGGAAAGTGCGGGATATGACTCCGTGAGGTAAGCGTCGATTTCGTCTGGTGATGGGAAGGCATCGCTGTTGGGAGAGTACATTGGGTTATTCGCGGCCACAGGGAAGGCAGGCAGATTAGAGAAGTCCATCTTGGTGTCTGGCTGCCGCGGAGTTGCGTGGGAGGGCGTTTATTCCTAGTCACTCAAGTTCGGCGAAGTCTCATGCCAGTATATATTCAAGGGCTATTCGTCCTGTCGTCACTCTGTCATCAGCCCTCCCTTGGTATCCTGGCTAGTGATGGTGCCGGTGATCGGGTTGAAGCAGAATATCGAACGATCAACAGGCAGCACACCGGCTTTTGCCAGCTCCCAGAGACTGCGGTAGGCTTGATTGCGCTGCGCCTAGAAGATTCCGAGCTCGGGCGCGCAGCAAAGACGGCGGAGAAGCAACCCGCTGAACTACTGTCACACCAAAACCTCAGCTCCAACCAAACCCCGGTGACAAGACTTTTTTCATGGCCTTCTTGCAGCCATGATAACCGCCACTTGAATGGCCAAACTGCTGGTAATCTCGCAGCGCCCAGTTTTATCATACGATCTGCGCCAGGGTTGCGAGTCTAGAATGGTCTATCCAGCACAGTTGTAGTACGCAATGCCCGCCTCCTCACGGTGTGAGACGCAGCTGTCGTTCCCATGTTGCAGAGTGCCGTGACGTCGATGCAGGTGCTCTGCGAAGTTCGACGCGGGGAAGAAATTCTAGCCGGACAACCCTCCCACATCGAATCACAGCCAGCGAGCTGATACACTATACCCAATCAATTCCAGGCGGTGACATCCGGTAATACTTCCCTCAGCACCTGGATCTATTCAGCATA